TGCGCTTTCCCAGGCGAGCTTCTCTTTCCTCAGCAGTCTCCTCGAGCAAACGTTGTCGTCTTCGCTCCTTCCTTTTCGCTAGACGTTTGGCTTTCTTGTCGTTTCCTTGCCGCTCTTCATTTGGCTCCATGCATATCTTTTCAACTGGTATTTGATACCGTAATTGTTTTATTAAACTTTTTATAGAACAAATTGCTTTGAAAGCTGTCAAAGTTTTTTGCAAACGTACAAAATACTGTAGTGTAAAAAGCAAATTATTTTCATGAAGTATCTGTCAGTTGAAGTCGTCATTTGTCATACAAAGTATCTTAAATTAATGGCGCATTGCCAGTCAATGGGTTTATTGTATAGAAGTACTAACCCTTTTACTTGCAATATGTCTAGGGGAGAGTCTTGTCACTAAATGGACTGGTAAAATCATCTGCATGTCTTTCTAGACAGGGTAAAAGAATAAAATCTAGCACATTGCCAACCAATAGGTTAACAGATTGAAATACGGAACTATCTGCCAAACTCTCCTGCAAAGCCCCAGAAGGTCCAGATTAATTCACTTTTCCATGCAGCGCTATAATATTAATAAACAAAATATTTGTATTGTTTGGCAGATGTAAAAATGGTACATATCAAGATTGAAGAAGATTTCCGCTATATTTCCAAGACCGAAGACGTCAATGATTGAACTAGTTCATGAATTGCAGATAGGCCTCTTATGATCTATTTTAGTGTATCTACGCTAGCATGTGTATTCTTATACTTCAGAAACACAACGAAGATCCTTTCAGATAGATTGTTCTAAATAATTGTGTATAAAGTTTCTTTTGTTTTTGCTTTTTAGGACCATGAAGGTCCAAAATCCTTTTGTCAGAAACAAATTGGCAATCTTCCTGTCATCCTGATTGATCAGAAAAGTATATATCTCATTGTTGGAAAACACATTTTGCTGCGGACCGATGTTGGTAAAATAGAAGAAGCTGTTGTTGCCTTTTAGCCCTTAATGGATTTTGATTATCCCAAACAACACGAGCTAAGATTGGGAGTCCTACATTTTCTTGTTTTTAAGGACAACCGAATCCCAAACAACATTAGTGCAATTTCCAGTACCGTATTGACGTCGCATTAAAAATATAAAGATGGCTCTGCATGCATGAGTAACTCAACCATTAAACTGTAGATACTGTAGGTACAAATTAGTTTCACATTCCATATAATACATTCTTTAATCCTGTTTATTTTGATATTAGAACTCTGTAATTTAATTTTCTTGAATTGAGAAAGTAGGAGAATAGCAAGAAAAGTTTACTTTGCGTGGAAAAATATTTCTTGAAAGATATTTTCTATTTCTTGAAAGATATTTTTTTGAAACAAGAAATTCAATTTCAAGAAATATTTTCTTATTGAGTAATCATTTTCTTACTGAGTAAATCTTTTTCGCTATTCTCCCACTTTCTCAAAAAAAGAAAATATTACTTGAATTAAGTTAATATTTCTTAAATCAAGTTTGTTTTTCTTAAAACAAGGTGTTTACATTTCTTATTTTAGCTAATTCTTTCTCAGTATTTCTTGGTATGAGAATGAAATTTCTTGTTTCAAGAAAAAGGTTTGAATATATTTGTCGTTATTTACTTAAAACAAGAAATTTTTTTTTCTTGGTTTAAGAAAATAACTTCTAGGTATGTTTTCTTGACTAGAAATTATTTCTCGCTATTCTGACATGAAAATATTTCTTATTTCAAGATAAAAAATCTTGAAATAAGTTTTTTTTTCTTAAAATAAGAAAACGATTTTTTGCTGTGTAAAAATACAGTAACAGAGCTCGGAAGTAGTACACGTACTTGTAATTTCTAGGCCGTGGGCTGTTGTGCGAAAAAGTGCCCAGAAAAGCAATTTCGTGGCACCCCCCTGGGAAATAGATTTTCTGTGGTTCAATTCATAGAACCATAGATGCTGAATTACCACAAAAAGTTCCCAAGCAAAAAACTTGCCCAACACCAAGAAAATGGGTTATCAGTGATTATCCTCTATTAAATTGTATTACAGCAAGAAATTGTGAAATTTTGTATTCAATTACAACAAAAATGACATCAGAAAGCTTACAAAAACCTACATATAAGACATTTAAACAGTTTGTTTTTATATCTAAAATTGTTTTCGAGTTGTACGCTGTCAAAAACGCGTTTTTGACCTAGTACCCAGTTCTTATTGCGACATTTTGGTCCAATTTTCACATTTAAAACAGCAATAACTCAAAGACTATTTGAAAAATCATAAAACTGTTTAAAAGTCTTATATGCGGTTTTTTGTACGTTTTCCGATGATGCAAGTCATTTTTATTGTAATTGAATTATAAAATTTCCCATTTTTTGCCGTAATACAATTTAATAGAGGATAATCATTGATCACCCATTTTCTCGGTATTGGTCAACGTTTTGCTTGGGAACTTTTTTTTGGTAGTGATGTACCTATATGCCTTTCAAATAAACCCCAAACCAAGTATTTCCCACATGGGTGCCACGAAGCGAAATGATTTTGGCCAACAGCCCACGGCCTATTCATGACGTTACATGTATTAATGACGAAGAAATGCACTGGCAAGGAGATGACATGTGAACACATTTTGCCAGCAATTTCTTGCAAAAAAAACTGAATCATGAACAAAAACAAGTAAATTCGCACCGTACATTAAGATATCGGGTTTTTATTGGTCAAAATTAACTTTTACTGACAGTTGTTTGTTCTGAATATCTAGGTTATTTGGATTCGATAAGTTTATGAATGCCATTTTAAGCTTTATAAATTTGACAATCTTAGTCATGGTTTAAATGTTCGAAGTTTTAATTCAGAAACCAAGGCTAGCGCCTAGCGTCTGACTGACCATATTTTAAAGTTTAAATTTGTTCGGCGATCTGAATACGTTTACTATAGCGTTAGCAAGAACATATAATAGTAGAAATATTCCCTATATTTTTATTCGTTGTTTTTCAAATTTTAGGATCTATTTTGCAGTAAAATTTAATATTTTAATTAATTCGTAATTTCTATTTGTGCATGCTGTTTGGCCGTAATTCACTATTTTGTATATATTTAACTCTTTTTACTAAATTGTTCTATTTTATCCTTTTATTTTATCTTTTTATTCTTTCAATTTTAGATATTTTAATTTTTATCTTATCTGCCCTGATGATTTCTCCACTGTTTTAATTACCTGGTTTTAGTGTAGTTCCACATCCTTTGCATGTAGTGTAGGTAATAAAACGAATCTGCTTTAAAATATCCTTTGTTTACATTTGCTACATTTAGTTAATAAGTGCTAAGTCGTGCTACCCAGGGAGGGGAGGGAAGGATGGAGAGGAGGAAAAGGGAGTGGAGGCAGCAAAAACGTCTGATTTTTCACTCATATTTGAGTAGAAAATGTAAAATGTGACAACGTTATTTGTGATAGTGTTAAAAACGGTATTTTATTGAGATTGTAACGTCAATATCAGTGTAAGTTGTTCCGTCAAACATCGAGACAACTCAGAACAAAAGTTTATTTTTATAATTTGACATTAATACGAAAGAAAACAAGAGCTAAAAAATCAAAGAAAAAGTCAAATGTTATTGATTCGCATGGAAAAATATGAACTTTGACCAGGGCATTAACTATATAACTACTGGGGCATTTACACCAGTAGGCCCTTTGTTTGCCCCAGTAGTGAAGCATGGTTTTCAAATGAGCTGGGCCCTTTTGATCATTAGTAAAACAACCTTGTTGAAAAAGCTGCATCTGCCTGCTTTCTCATATCCTCTCACATTCTCGACATTCCATCTTATGAAAGTCAGAACAGGCAGAGTCGGCGCTAACGGGGGAGGGGGGAGTTGGAACACCCCCCCAATCATCAGGTAATTAGCAAATTATCGAGTCCCAGTTTGCGATAAGAAATATTAATTAGCGTTTGAAATGAGTTAGCAAAATTTCACTTACACACGTCCCCCACTCCCCTCATTCAAACAACTTACACGTTTATAAGACAAAGCTACATTACCTGAATGAGTAGCAATCTTTTTTCTTCAACAATAGTTTCATATTTTTTACGATTTTGGTGTTGGGGACATGTATAGCCTTGTTGGTTGTTTGTTTTGGCAATAAAAACTACAAGAATACAAAGAGTTTTTCCTATTGCCCCCCCAACATCTTTCGCGTTAAATACCACGTTATAATTACACTTTCTCAGAAGTATTATTTTGACTTTCCAGGGCAGTTTTATAGCTAAAATTTTTCGAAAAAGGCGTAATATTTTTGGAAAATGCAACAGCCGACACCATAAAACATTTAGTCAATATTTCCTCATTTACTCCTGTTTCCTAGGATACGAATCAGCGATTGCGGTTGATGAGTAAGGTCTATATATACACTGGACTTATATATCTGTATACCGACTTACTGCATGTGACGTACAATACGTTTTGATAGGATCGACTTTACCTTGAATTTGGCTTTTGGCAGCAATAGACTTTACGCCAAATGATGTTATAAACGTTAACGCGCGCGCTGAATTCTGGTCATAGTAGTCAAATTCCATAAATGTGTCCAAACAACAAAAATGGCGGGCTTGTTAGCTTGAAATACCGATATTCATGTGCTTCTTTTGAAAATGAAATCATTCTTGCTGGCCCTAGTTCTTCAAAGAACTCTTGTACGGGTGGTCAAGGTGAAGTTCAAGCAAAAATGGGAGACTATGGAAAGGATGTATATATGCCGTAGTGAGTCCGCTGAAGTTCGGCCGATATCGCCTGTTGTTAATATGTTCAGACTAGGCAAACAAAGTCTTCGGTCTGATTAAACGAGTATGAAAAGATTTGAGAAAGGAAGACTTTATACTGAACTAAGACGAAATTGATCTGGACGACAATGCAGCGAGTTTTCTGCACAGCGAAACCAAAGGATGGACAAACTGACTGCAAGATATTCCTCCGTTTACCCACCAAAAATTAGAAAATAAAATGCTAAATACACCCGCACAATGCCTGACAGAGTAACGCCAAAGGCTCATAGGAACATGAAGAAAGGATACGGTCTCTGCAAAGAAGGTTATGTCAATAATATTGAAGTCAAGGCAAACGTCCAATGTAAAATTCAATTATTTCCGGTGACAGCTCGAGTTAGTTCATCAATGAAGAGTGTAAGTTACATTGTTAGTAGTATACAAAGTGGGGGTTCTGGAGCGGGCGGTGCACTAATTAGCACCACCTATGATGTCGTCACAGTATATTCTCAAACCGATTACACGCGCTTGTAATGTATTTAAAGAATGTAGACTAATGATTACTATATAGCATTATAAGAAAATTTTCTACAGTTTAATACTTTGCTAATATTTATACCCACATGTATTCCTTCAAACAAACTGAGTGGATTTTAATACGTTCTCGATATATATTCTAGTAAAGTTCTTGTAATGTATGTGGAACGTAGATATTGTACTTATACGCATGCGCAGTGAGAATTGTGTATTATAAAAATTCCTGACTTATAGGAGTTTCCAAAGATTCGAATATCCCAGTTTATTCAAAATTTCCCAAAAACATAAACGACAATAGAAATAGAGTATAAAAAGTGTATTTGAAATAATCGTATTACAAGGTTTATTAGATTATCATAAAGTGCATGCCCACTACTTTAACTCCATCATTGGTTTTCCCTGGAGACATACATTCACCATCTTCATAATTATTAAAAAAGAAATAATTAAAATCCAGGCATACATATGAAAAATTTTAAACAGAACTAAGCAGTTGCTAAGGCGAAGTTAACATGGCTGTCAACACAGTTGTTAGGACGATATTTGCATTTTACAGAGTCTTTAACCCTATTTGTAACCGGGGGTGCGCACAATGAGCGCACCCCTATAAATATTTATCCGTCATTCCTGAACAATTGATTCCATTTGCCTGTGCTTTCATGACTTTTAATATTTTTCCTCTGCCGTCATGACTGCGAAAAAGTTTTCCTAAATATTCAACGTATCCGGATGTTTGGCGACATTTGTCAAACAAGGTGTCGGGGCCAAAAATGGGAAAATGTGTGTTGGACAGTACATTTTTGCTGAATCACTTCCCAGGACATAAATAACATAATATAATTAGAGAACATATAAAGATGGATTGTTACACATGATTTGCAAAGTAAAATATCCATAATATATTATATAAAATAGCAAAATGAAGTATAACATGTAATACAGGATACTACAAAATACTTTATATATAATACTAGAAAATACATGCATGCAGAAACCCTCGCCTTGCTGACAAAACCATTGTATTTTCCGAACATGAAGTACTTAAAGTTGTTGTCATGGTAACACGATAATTTTTTAAGAATATTCTTACAAATGAAAAATCGCGTAAAAATATCACTTTTAATTACAAAATTATCAATTTCCCAACATATATATGTTAGGTATGTTATTATACCACGGTGGGGATTAATTGCCTCGACAACGCTCACTTAAGTGTAACTTTGAGGGCTTTTACCCAATTAATCTGATATTTTATACTTTGACAGATCGTTTCAATCTAAGATATGCTCTCGTTTCACTTTTTCGAATGTTTCAAATTTTGGCAGGAAAATGACGTCATCCTTTTGGCGCCAATATTTTGTTTAAGTGTTAAGACTTCCTTAGTTTATTTTTCTAAAATAAGATGTTGTGTAAAGTTCAAAACCGAAACAATAATTGAATTATTTTAATTCAATCAAGAGTTATAAAGGATAGAATTTTCAGATTTCGGCCATTTTGGGCTTTTTAGTAACAAAATGGCCGAAATCTGAAAGTTCCATCCATTATAACTCTTGATCGAATCAAGATAATTCAATTACATTTTCGGTTTTGATGTTTACACCACATCTTATTTTAGAAAAATTAACTAAAGAAGTCTTAACAGGTAAACAAAATATTGGCGCCAAAAGCATGACGTCATTTTCCCGCCAAAATTTTAAAAATTCGATAAAGTGAAACGAGAGCATATCGTAGAATGAAACGATCTGTCAAAGTATAAAATATCAGATCAATTGGACAAAAGCTATCAAAGTTACACTTAAGTGAGCGTTTTCGAGGCAACAAATGCCCACCGTGTACGTAATATAAGCTTCAATTTAAGGTAAAATTCAACCACAAACGCTTCGAAAAACGTTTTAAATTAAAGTGTCCTTTATAAAACTAAACTGCCTTTAATTAAATGGCTTTATCGATAAACTTTGAGTTTGCAATAAAATGATTTCAAATTCTCGCATGCAAATAACTTTGCTTTCTTTTTTATTTAAAAAATTCGATATAATAAACAAGGGAATCAATATTAATAATACACTGAAACTATATGCTGTCTTGTGCAGTTGTTTCATATACGCAAAAAGCCAAAGGCCGTCGGGTTTTAAAATAAATTTATAAAATCAATATTTAAAACAAACTTACCTTCGTTAACGTCGGCTCCCTTCTTTTAGCCGATTCTTTCGCCCTTTCTTTCTGGATATATACAAAATCTTGCAAAAATGCGAGCAAAAATGAAATATATTTGCAAGAAATTTATCAATCACCAAATCAAGAAATGTTTGCTATTTCGCTGTCGTCATGCAGTCGTTATAATGTAAACTTTAAATTGGACCTATCAGTGTCCGCTATTCATGACAGTCCGCCATATTTTTGAGATCAGTGAGGATGACCACCCACCGAACCACTCACGGTAACCCACGCCCGCGCTCATTGATGAACTTTAGACTTGGCTAATGCTTTCGTTTCCCCGGGTGTAAATAGCCGGGGGGAATTACTACCCTCGCACGGCGCTTCGCGCCGTCGGCTCGGGGATAAAATGCTTATTTATAATATTTTTATATACACAAATACACATATTTATTTGTACCTTCAAGGCATAACATCTTCTTGTCTTTGAGTAAACATCAAACAAGTAGGAACCATGATATATCGCAGAGTATATGAACGGTCTTTGATTTGACAAATTTACGAATTTAGATAACATATTTCGCATAAAATTCTTGCGAATATTGTAGTCTCAAAGTGAATATTGTGTTTTCAAAACTATACTTCAGGCTCGTAGCTCACCTGTGGTACACTTCATGTAACATATAGTATATTATAAAATAACCTTTTAATAACGCCTGCGCTGATTGGTTGAGAAGCGAAAAATCCCGTGTTTCTATAACGCTATAGAACACGGGGATTTTCCACGAACCTCAAAACAAAACACTAAAACAAACATTGTCGCCTGAAATATCGATTAAAAAACTTCGTCAACCTGAAATTTTGTTAACCAAGCAATGAAAACACTTACCAAACGTTTTTTCGCTTTAAATTTTCTTTAAATCAACTTTTCAGCGTGTTTTTTTCCATAATTTTGCAGTCGGCAAAACTGAAAATTGATGTCGGTATTGTTGCTAGGCAACATTTTCTTATTATTGTGTAATGAGAATATACTTTTTAATCGCGTTAAAAATATTTGCTTTTGTGTTATCATCTCAAGGTTATTTAATAAAGGAAATAGAAAACATTTTTTCCTGTGTTTCTATAAAGTTGTAGAAACACTTGTGCTAGTTTGGGAGAACTCGGAATAACGTGGAAACACTCGCAATACGTGCTCGTGTTCCTGCTGATTATTTCTCGTTCTCCCAAACTAGCACGCGTGTTTATATATAATTCTATAGAAACAGGAAAATGTTTTCTATTTCTTAATTGGTATAAAAACATGGTCGCCATTTCGTATTTTTTCTACAAACTTTTGTTGATCGACTTCAGAGTCCAGATCAACGTTTTTTCGGTTTATACTAAAGACGTTATGCCAAGAAGAAGAGCTATGATTTAGGTTGAATGCGCAATTGGGAATATTATGCGATTTATGACAACATTGACAGTGTCACAGTGATGAAGGAAAAATCAGTGATGTTGAAAATGATTTGCATTGTTTATATGGGGAGACAGTTGTATGTCTTTCCATATGGTACAAAATGCCAGCTTGGTAAGAAAAATAGTGGTGAGATATGCCACATCTGAGATATGCCATAACATAAAAATATGTCTTTTGAATGTAAAAGACCCAAAAAATATCATATCCAAAATGTTTTTTATCTCATTACGAAAAGTAACCAAAATGGATAAAATATTTGCAAAATTCGCCATTTTTTCATAGGCGGTCGTATCCAACGGGGCCAAAAAACAGCATTTTGGATGTAAATTTAACTTTTTTGTTATTTTTAGGTTAAAGAAAGATAAAACTTACTAAAAATAGAACTTATAGAATAATGGCAGTTAATCGACAGAATTTCTGAGGGGTGCGCCCTATCAGCACACCCACGGTCATATCAACATGAAAAAACTCCGGTACAAATAGGGTTAAAAGTGTTTAACACGCCGACCCCGTGTGGATACATACAATTTCTTTTTATTTCACACAGCGAGCTTGAGACAGAAAAAATACTAACGAACAGAAAGTTATTAGAGATTGCGTGCAAGATATATCGAAATTTTATTGTTTGTGGGTCTCTAGAACGTATACCGCCAAAGTCATTAACAGTCATTAACAGATTACAAGCAAAAGTTATTAAAAATCCCTTAATTAAGTGCTTATTATGGATAGATAGGGATTATTTATTACCTTAAGATCAGGTGCATGGCTTTGTGGGCATTGAGGGAATAGCGGATAGATTTCTTTCGCGCGCGTAGACCATAAAATAAGGCGCGCGGCATTGCCGGCATATCTCGGAGTCTTGTATTAATAGCTCGGAGCCTGCCTCAGAGCCGAGTTTCACAGGCTTGGTGTTTTTCTAATTAGCTTGGAGCTGAACTCGACTGGCTCAGAGTCATGTTCAATTGGCTAAGAGCCGAGTTCCATAGGCTCGGAGCCGAGCTCCATAGGCCCGACGCCGAGCTCCATAGGCTCGGTGCCGAGCTCCATTGGTTCGTGGCCGAGCTCCATAGGCTCGGACCCGAGCTTCGCAGCCTTGACCCAAGCGCTATAGGCTCGGAGACGAGCTTCACGTGCTTGGAACTGGTTGGAATGGCTCGTAGCCAAGCTCCATATGCTCGGAACCAGCTTGAATGGCTCGGAACCGAACTAGATTGGCTCGAAGCCGAGCTCCATAAGCTGTAGGATTCAATGATTTAATCTATGATTCAATGATTCAATCTTACGATTCAATAATTCAATCTTATGACTCAATTATTCAATCTTAGAATTCAGTGACTCAATCTTAGGATTCAATGATTTAATCTTAGGATTCAATGATTCAAAAACTGTATACCCGTAGGCTCGGAGCCGAGCTTATGGTGCAGCCGGCCTCCGAGACATTCGAGCCGGCTCCGAGCCTGTGGATCTCGGGTCTGAGCCTATATACTGTAGTGATTGAATCATTGAATCCTAAGATTGAATAATTGAATCCTAAGATTGAATCATTGAATCCAAGATTGAATCATTGAATCTTAAGATTGAATCATTGAATCATAAGATTGAATAATTGATATATCCTACAATTGAATCAATGAATCATAAATTGAATCATTGAAACCTAGAGCTTATGGAAAACGCGTATATTTTAGCACAACCCATTGCGGACATTATAAATAAATCATACAACGAGTCCCATCTCCCATCATCCTGGAAGTCCGCAGATATTGCACCAATCCAGAAGGAAAAACCATCTGCGACCCATTTGCCTAACCCCGATTCGGTCGAAAGTCGCCGAGGACTATATTGTAGATTGTTTCGTCAAACCAACTGTACTTAAATAAGTAGGTCCCAATCAGTACGGAACGATTCCTAATTTACTACTTGCGTAATAGCGATGCCCGCTAAGCATGACGGTAGGAGGCTCTAGGTTGCTTTCGAACGAAATGGCGGCTGTGGGAGCGAACGATTTTGTTTTCACGATACTTTGATGGATTTTAACTACTTTTCGCATCCATTGATAACTTTTATCTGCAGGGAAACAACTAAACAACTTTAAACTACACACAGATGAATTTTAGTGATTAGTTTTGTGCAATAATGGCAAAGAAAACGCGTTTACAAGGAAGCGACGTGCGAACACGCTTCGCGGAGAATCTCTTGCAAAAAACTAGTCTTGAGAACAAAAACAGCTGAATTACCGTTTTAACTAAGGATAGGATAAGTTTTTTTGAAAATTAAGTATTACAGATAGTTTTTTGCACTGGATCTTTAGTTTATTTGGATCGTGTGAATTTATAAAAGTAATTTTTTATTTTGTGAAATTGACAACTTTTGTCATGATTTTGTTCGAATTTTTCAGTCCGAAAACTCGCGTTCCTGTGAACAAATTTCAAATCCTGAATATCGTCAATCTGAATAAATTGTCTCTAGTTGTAGCAAGAATATTTACTAGTGAATGTCTTCTCTTGATTTCATATGCATATTTTATCATGCTTTTGTAAAAAGTTCTCGAGAAGTAGTGAACTACTTGATCAGTTATTATTTAATTACTGATCACAACATGAAATTTAGGTATTTAGTATTTTATGCCTTCGTTTAGCTGAACCTTTTTGTTGGATTGGAAGAGTATGTGTTTACCTAGCATATTTTAAGTTGTCTATAAAATAGATTTAACACCAAACGAATGATGTTTTAATACTTAGCTGTTGTCACACAGCTACACATTGCAGGCAAACACATAGTTGTTGTTTGAACAATCATTGACAATTAGAGACAGCTTGAACTTGGTGCAGACCCTCGGTTTGAACAGACACTCTTTATTAGCAAGTGGGGTGTGCTAATCTGACGAAGTAACACATACATGCCTTTGGGTATCTTTAGTTTGATCCAGCAGTCTATTTAATATGACAGATGGATCAGCTTTTAGTCAAGCATGCATTAATTATTGCTTGTAGGGATCTTAAGTTAGCATGCTGAGATTTTTTGGAGAGGTTCTGTATTACCAGCTGGCCTGTATTCACTGTGTTGTTATCCACTGGGTTAGTCTGCTAAACTGGGTTGTCTGTAAACTGGATAAACTTGGCACAGGCCACAGGACATGCTTGACTCAAATTCTATTCATGGACTGAATATTAAACCAAGAGAATATCCTGCAAAACTATACTGTGGGACTGGTTAGGGTGGGGGGGGGGGGGGG